AGATTTGTAGAGACCTTTAGCCCATATTCAAGAAAATCTCCTAGATAGTAGCATAATTCCACAAATCAAATGGCCAAGGAGTGACATCAGCATTCTTTTGTTGTTGTTGTTGAGTCAGAGTCTCACTCTGTTGCCCAGGCTGGAGTGCAGGGGCACGCTCACGGCTACCACAGCCTTGACCTGCTGGGCTCAAGTGATCCTTCTGCCTCAGTCGCCCAAGTAGTTGGGACTACAGACATGTACCACCATGCCCGACGAATTTTTTTTTTTTTTAAATTATAGAGATGAGGTCTTGCCAAGTTTCCCAGGTTGATCTAGAACCCCTGGGCTCAAGCAGTCCTCTCCCAAAGTGCTGTGATTACACGCATGAGCCAAAACACCCAGTCAACATCTGCATTCTTAAAAATAACTGAAAAAAATAATCTAGTGAAAAAATATGAGTTAGAAATGGACCTAAATGTCTTTTTGAAATTATAAGAACAGTATAAAATACAAATACAAAAATATCCTCTTAGTAGAATTTAAACCACACGAGTGTTTCTTTGTTGCGAGAATCTGGCTTGCAGATTCGACCCAGGAGAGGAGTCAGCATCTGTCCCCTGTGTTCACCTTCCTCCCTTGGGATACAGGCGCTGGACCGCAGCCCTAGATCCCAGTCCGGTCACAGCCTCTGCGTGGGGAACCCGCCTTTTGCAGGTTGCCACATGACGTATGGCTCTTCTAGGTGACTCAACTCTGAGCACCGTCTGGTCCCGTTTTGTGGACTTCCTGGCAACTCCAAGCATTTCAGATAGAGTCTCCAAGGATTTCTTTAAGGTTTACAGTTTGTTGAAGCAGAAAAGTTTTCTGGCTGATTGAAAACAAATTCCAAGTCCAGTGCCCATGACTGTTTGTTTTGCGGATGAGGTAACCATAGGAAAATGCAATAAACAAAACTGAAATAGTATTATGAAAGTGGGACTCTGGGCAAGTCCTGTGCGTTTTAGCCTGACTTTCAGCCCTTCACCTTCTGGCCTGCAAATAGGACCTCGCCTAGATGATCCTGGATTCACTTACATTCATTCGTGAGGGTGTACATTTTGAGTTAAGAGGTTAGCAATTGGCACTATCAGCAAGTTATTTCTGATGCCTATTTTTCTGGTCTCTTGCTTGGTTTTTGAGTCATTTTATGTAGGAACAGAAGCCTCTCACCACCACTTGCATAACGACCGTTCACACCTGGAAAAACTAACTAGCAGGTTCCCTCTACACTTTCTCCTGCTGTGTGAGTTTGGGGGCGAGAAATGCCACTTTCTTCTATAAAACAGAGGGAGATACATCTTAAGGCAGGGAGAGGGAGACCTGTGGGGTTTCTCAAGTTCCAACTGTCACAGAGGCTGTCCACTTGCCATGACTTCTGAGTAACTGATCAGCCCCATCCTCTGGATGAAGAGATGGCAACTTGTTCTTAATGGCTATATTACTATCCCATAATGGACGCCTATTTGCTTATCGTATCCGAAGAATTCATTTTTTTTTTTTTTTGAGTCGGAGTCTCACTCTGTCATTCAGGTTGGAGTGCAGTGGCATGCTCATAGCTACCGCAGCCTCAACTTGCTGGACTCAGGCAATCCTTCCACCTCAGCCTTCCAAGTAGCTGGAACTACAGGCGCTCGTCACCACGTCCAGTTAATTTTTTGAATTATTGTAGAGATGAAGTCTTGCCAAGCTGCCCAGGCTGGTCTCGAAACCCTGGACTCAGGCGATCCTCTAGCCTCAGCCTCCCAAAGTGCTGGGATTACAGACTTGAGCCACCACGCCCAGTAGTTAATGTTTACAAGTTCAAATAAGAAGACAGATAATTTCACAGCTGATCTAACTCCTTTATTCTAGCCACATATAATAAAGAAAATATTCGCTAACATTTGGGTGCTGACGGGGTGCCAGGCACTGACTGAACCTCTTGCCACAACTCTGTGAGGTAGGCAGCAATAATAGACCTTTTTTACAGATGAGGAGACTGAGACCCAGAGACTTTAAGTCACTTGCCAATGCGAACACATTTAACAAGTGGCAAAGCTTCCTGCCTAACCACCCTCCCAGAACCCACAGCACAAGAAGGGCTATCTGGCCTTGGTTGGCCTCACACACAAGACTTTACAGGTAGATATTGGACATTCTCTCCACATGAGCTTATACAGTCATGGAAATACATCAGAGAACTGAGAAAAGTTTGTCATACAACTTGGACTACACTCTCACAGGTGCAATATGGAGAGAGATAGTCTCCTCTAATCATCTTATGAAGAGTACAATTATGCTAAGTTTCATTTTTTATATACGTTCAAGTCTTTAGTTAGGTAAACACAAATATTTAAAATATACCTTAAGTTCCATTACTATGTTTCATCTCCATTTTTAATACACAAAGAGACTAACAGTGATATTGGCCTGAGTGTATTTTGACATTGGAAAGGTCCCAGTGCATGGAACACTAGGATTGGGAGGGAAATTCAGAGACCATCTTGTTCAACTTCTTCATTTCACATGGGATGAAATAGAGATGCAGAGATGTTGAGTAACCTCTCCAAGGTCACACAGCAAATGCCCTTCTTCTGACAGGCCCGTGTGTTCTGTCCTGCACCCTCTGCCACTGATACTGGTTCACACTTCCAGAGAGAGCAAGGAAAAAAGAGTTGCACATGTGGGTACAGGAATGGGAACGTCCAGGAGGTCATGAAGCATATAAATGCTTTCCAAAGTCATCTTTTTTGGAATATGTGGGGGAAAACAATTACACTTCTGTAAAAGTTTTGACATTTCAAAACCTTCCAGAGCTGAGAATCACTGCTGAGCCTCATGGCCACCCTGAGAGGAAGGGTGTGCAGACATTGCCAGTTCTGTTTCTCTCTGTCTCTCTCTCTCTCCCTCTTCTTCCCTCCCTCCCTCCCTCTCTCCCTCTCTTCCTCCCTCCCTCCTTTTCTTCCTCCCTCTTTTCCTCCCTCCCTTCTTTCTTTCTTTCTTTCTTTCCCTCCCTCTCTCCCTTCTCCTTCCTTCCTTCCTTCCTTCTTTCCTTCTTTCCTTCCTTCCTTCCGAGTTGGGGTCTCACTGTGTCACCAGGCTGGAGTGCAGGGACATTATCAGCTCACCTAGCCTTGACCCCCTGGACTCAGATGATCCTTACGTCTCAGCCTCCCAAGCCACTGAAACTACAGGCGTACATTACCACGCCCAGAAATTTTTAAAATTTTTTCATAGAGACGAAGTCTCACTATGTTGCCCAGGCTGTTCTCGAACTCCTGACCTCAAGTGATCCTCCCTCCTTGGCCTCCCAAAATGCTGGGATTACAGGCATGAGTCCCCATGCCTGGTCTATTTCTGCTTTTCAAAGGGGTAAGGAAAAAACCAAGAAATGTTACACTCCTTTTCCTAGGTAATAACTAGGTAGTGGCAAACTGTTACTGTAATTTGGGACTCCTGGCTTGGCACAGGCATCGAAGCACACTGTGTTCTTGTATTCAGTGTGTCTTACAGGAATCCCAGCTGAGAGCAGCACTGGCATTTTTATTCTGATGATGCTATTCATAAACCATCCTCAAACCTGATGCATTTTCACTGAAAGAAACTATTCTTCACATGATCAGTAACTTGATGGAAAAGACAATTCAATCTAAACAATATTCATAAAGTGAACACTATTTCAGGAGAGATATTAAGCATCTCCAACATTCCTACGGTAGTTTCTTTTCAGTAGGGACGTGTAAGATATATTTAAATGACACTTCATCTGGGAAACCAGTATAAAAAAAATTACAGTTCCTGCAGTCTTATAATTCTTTGACTAAAGCTGTTTTACAAAAAAGGGTATTTTAATTCAATAAACAAAAACCAGGTTTATTCAGCTTCTCTACCAGGGGCACTAGCCACTGCTCTTAGCTAATACACAGGGTTAAAACACACAAACAGTGTTTGATCCTTGATCCTGCTTTGCCGAGAGGTGTTTCATCTTTCAAGAGACCAAGGGAAAAACAACCTCAGAACTTCGCCACCAAAACTTCCAAATTTATGACAACACGACGTAATGGCAAAATACTATTTTCTTAGCACACACATTTTTGAGCAACCACCACAGCCAAGAATGCCAGGTTTTATTTTTACACTCATCCCAAAGAAAATCTTTGATTCTGTTCTCGACTTGGGAATGCCAAAGATGCTGGGGTTTGCTCGGAGCAAACGGTCGTGTCTAATTATCCAGTCTCATCCCCTCTCTTTAACCTGGGCTTGAGGCATTTATTTCAAGTTTATACTTGTTTGACACAAATCGGCACTTAAAAGAGATTTCATACCCTGCCTTCCTGCGCAGAGCTGAGCTGCAATGGTAGACTGAACAATGCCAACCCCTTCCTGAGCCCATCATTCACAGAAGCATTCAGCCTAAGAAAATACTCCCCGTGTAAACAAGACACAGAATGGCACATCTAGCCACATTCCACCAAAAATGTCTGAATAGAGAGAAGCAGAGAACCACGCTAAGTCATTTCTGTTTAAGTTTGGCACCAGTGTGTCCATTTCTCATACTGCTAATCAGATATTGTTATAAGCAATTTGCTGTATATTATATATTTTTATGTTCCATATAGGAAGCAAAGTTTTAAAATAGGCAAGATCATAGACTTAAATTACTTTAAAATTCTATACAGATGTACTTTTCAACTTGTTTTTATCCATAATTAAACTGGTTTAGAGAAACAGGGAAAATCTTGCTACAACAATATATCACTGCAGTTGATTTATAATTGATAACATGTATATATGCTTATATACATATAATTAGTTGTTTAAAAGGATGCCAACTACCACCCACTCCCGTCCCAAATCTTTTGAAACTTGAAATTTGTACTGACTGATTAGTTGGTCAAAATATGCATTGTAGTTTCTTAGTGACAAATACATTTCAATGTCTTTATAATAACAAATGGAAAGCAGCTATAGGGCATAGTTCAGAAATTCATCAGACATACCTTGTTTGAAGAAAGCAATTTTTTTTTCAAAAACTTTCCACCACACAGAATGGATATCCTTTTTTTCTTGAGACGTTCAGCACCACAAATCCCATCCAAATTATTCTAGAGAAGAGACAAGGAGAGGTCCAAATACCTTTTTTCTTCTTCTCAGAGAGCTCATCAAACAGTCTCATCAACCTCTCAGCGCTTTGAAAAGCACGTTTTACACCACACACACACACACACACACACACACACACACACACACACACACACACACACTGCTTCTCACACTGCCTTTAGTGCTGAATTAGGCGGTCCTCTTTCAAATTTCCACTCCCACTTGCTTTTTTTGGGGTAAAGATCTCTAAATATTCTTTTGTAGCCTACAGCACACATTGTCAGTCAGCAAATTCAACAATTAGACATTCCAAAAAGCAGAGGAAGAGCACCTCAATTTAAAAAAGGGGAAAAAATATGTTTTAAAAACTATTTAAGCAGGGCAATGAAATGGCTTTCTTTCTTTTTCAAAAGCTCGTGAATATCTGGATTAAACTGCACAAAGAAAGAAAACTCTGCAAACACCACCAAGCTTATTCTGCCGAACTCTCACTTTTGAATTGAAAATACTTACTTTTCCTCCATATTAATGCTATTTCTTTGTTTTGTTTTGCTTCAGTCCTTTCTGCATTTTGGCAAGCCTTATGAAATGACTCAAGTATATGTGGCTAGTTAGTTACAGGACACAAGATAATAACAGTGAGAAGGCAAACCTGACTCATGTTTCAAAAAACTGCTGATGGGTCTCTCCCATCATGGGTGACATCGGTTCGTTTTAGTTATTTATATATTAGAGTCATCAATGACACCCAAGAGATTCAGGCCCAGAATATGCATTCGTGTATCGCAGCCGTTTAAAAATCAGACCTCCGAAAAGTACCTCTGGTGTTTTTTGCAGTTCCGACGTCCATCATTGTGGACATGCATCTTTTTTCTTTTTTTAAATTTTATTTTAAAGATGTAGGGTACAATTCAGGGTTAGGTATACAAATGGTCATTATACAGGTAAAGTTGGGGCCTCACTTTGGTCCCCACTTCACCTAGTTTGAGATCCTATACCCTTATTGATGAAGTGTGCCTCACCCCTCACCCCTGGCAGTATCCCACTACTGCCAATCCCTTTTATTATAGTATTATGATAATTGTTTAGAGTCTTCTTATGAGTGAGAACATGTGGTGCTCAGTTCTTTGTTTCTGTGATAGATCACCAAATACGATAGACTCTAAATCCATCCAAGTTGCTGCAAAGTTCGTAATTTTGTCCTTCTTCATGGCTGTGTAACATTCCAGCATGAATATATACCAAATTTTTTTTTTATCCAGTCCAGTTTTGATGGGCAGCACGGTTGGTTCCATGTTTTTGCTGTTGTGTACTGTGCTGCAATAAACATGTGTGTGCAGATATCTTTTTTGTAGAATGATTTGAATTCCTCTGGGTGCATTCCCAGAAGGGGGATTGCTGGGTTGTATGGGAGGTTCTAGAAGATCTAAAAATGAACATGCATCTTTTTTTTTTCTGGGCAGGGTAGAAGGTAGCAAGGAAACATTCCTCCAGCTGCTGGGGAGTGTACGTGCGCACAGCTGGGGTGGACCATCTGCCTCTGTTCCAGCAGCCTCTTGTCCTCCTCTGTTGGCCTTGGCATTGTTCTTTATTTAAGGTTATGGTTCGAATAATACTTAACCACTCACCCCTCCTGCTTCTTTTAGTTCTGAATTGAAGTTATTTCTCAACCCTGTTTTTCCCTCCACCAAAATCCTGAGTCTCGAATCTTTCCCCCTGAGGTGAGTAAGGATGGTGCTCGTCCATGGAGGGTCTCCTGTCCTACCATTTTGGGGTTAGAGTAGGTTCGAATGAAATGACAGCCCAAGCATAATTAATGATAATATTATTATTTGTACTATACTACCCATGCCAGCTGGTGTTTATCAAACACTTTTGCTGGGAATGGCGACCATTTACAATTAATCTCAATTCATATTTAGAAGCAATGTGAGGTGGCTGCACTCCAGCCTGAGCGACAGAGTGAGACTCCAACTAAAAAAAAAAAAAAAAAAGAATTGAGACTGGGAGAGATTAAGAAACTTTCTCAGGGTCACCTGCCAGTAGGGCAATATCTGGGATTCCAATCCAAGGCTGCCCGACTTCAAAGCAATGGTGCTACCTTAAGACTCAGAGTATCTTTTGTTTCACTAGTTTTATTTGTTTTCTTATGGTGAGTAAGGCAAAATGAAATGTAAGTGTATTGAAAAGCATATGAAGAGATGCTCAAAAAAAAATTCAATGATATTTGGGATGATGAAAAATTTTGGAAACAGTAGTGATGGCTGTATTATGAATGTAGTGAATGCTGCTGAATTGTACATTTAACAAGGTAAAAATAGGAAATATTATGCTATGTATTTTTACTATAATTTAAAATATAGTAAAAACAAAAACAAAAACGAAAGACTGGCATGGTGGCTCACGCCTATAATCCCAGCACTTTGGAAGACTGAGGCGAGAGGATTACCTGAGCCCAGGATTTAAGACCACCCTGGGCAACTTGGTGAGACCTCATCTCTACAATAAATCAAAAAAAATAGTTGGGCATGGTGGCACACACCTGTAGTTACAGCTACATGGAAGGCTGAGGCAGAAGGATCGCCTGAGCCCAGCAGGTTGAGGCTGTGGTGGCTGTAAGCTTGACACTGTACTCCTGCCTGGGCAACAGAGTGAGACTCCAACAACAACAACAACAAAAGACAATTCCTTTTGAAAAGCAATGAAATATTTGATTTTCATCATGTTGGCAAAAAGTATCAGACATATTGGACACAAATCATGGCAGACATATGGTGGCTTTGGTTGGCTGCTGGTGGTGTGAACAAGAATCCCGCGGAGAATTCCATGAGAATTCTGTCCCGGAGAATTTGTGATTTAAGCATGGGAGACGCACAGCCTGAAACACGATGCTGCAGCTAGAGACGAAGACCTGGAGGCCTTGTACTTGCTGTTCCCATCTTCTGTCGAATCCCTGTACTACTCTCACACTCACACTCTTAAAGTCTTTGCTCAAATGTCACTCCTGTGACAGCCCTTTCCCGGTCACCCTATCTAAAATGGTACCCCACTCCAAGGGTTTCTTCTTCCTCTTCCGTTTTTTCTCTATAATACTTTTACTGCCTTTCGTAATATTTACTAGTTGATTTTTATTTATTTTATTATGATTTTGTGGGGTATACTAGTTGATTTTTAAATGAAGCATCCCCTGTTAGAAAGTAGGCTTCAGGGGTCGGGTGTGGTGTCTCATACCTGTAATCTAAGCACTTTGGGAGGCTGAGGCAGGAGGATCACTTGAGGAGTTCCAGACCAGTCTGAGCAACATAGCAAGACCTTGTCTCTACAAAAAATAAAAAATTAGCCAGGCATGGTGACTCATGCCTGTAATACCAGCTCTTCAAGAGGCCTTGACAGGAGGATTGCTTGAGCCCAGGGGTTTGAGATCAGCCTGGGCAACATGGAGAGACTTCCATCTCTACAAAAAAATAAAAAAACTGACCAGATATAGTGGCATGTGCCTGTGGTCCCAGTTGCATGGGAGGCTGAAGGAGGAGGATCCCTTGAGCCCAGGAGTTCGAGACTGTGTGTGAGCTGTGATTACACCACTACATGTCAGCCTGGGCAACAGAGGGAAACCTCATTTCTAAAAAACCAAAATTTTAAAAATGATAGTAAAAGAAAATGGAATCTAGTGAGGCAGGGGTTTTTAGGTGTCTTGCTCTCTGATGCATTCCTAACCCTGGAAGCTAACACATAACAAGGCATAAAATAAGCATTAACTAAATGAATGATTGAAAATACATTAAAATGGTTGCCTGTGGGAAATGAGAATGGGAATGGAGACTTGGAATAAGAAGGAATAGAAAACATTGAAGCAAAAGTCCTGGGGCTTGCGTGGACCAGTGATGATGGTGTTGGAAGTGGGGTTGACCTTCCATCTGGGACGTGTGGCAGCAAAAATGACACCTAGGACATAATCAAATGGGTGGCCTTGGGGCATCTTTTATCTTTCAAAGTAAAACAGGATCACAACTTCCTAGCGAGAAGACTTGAGCTTGCTACTTGGCATACACTGAGCTAGATTTCAAGTCGAAAACAAAAATTGTGATGTTCAGTTTTTTTCCTGCTATTACTACTGGAGATTGTTTTGCTTGTAAATCACCTATGTTTGCTTGAATGCATCGGTTCTTTCTTAAATAACTGTTTTGTCACTACATAAACTTAGTATCCTACTCTTGTATTGTATCTAGTACAAAAACTCAAATCTCTTTTAGAACATTCTCTATTAAAAGTTTTTATTATTGTCATAAACATTGAACTTGATGGCTCTTTAAAATACTGCCTCATTTTTTTTTTCCACTCCAGAGACAGAATGCAGGAAAATCAATGTATTCTTCATATCACAAATCCACTCTTTTATGTGACTTTTAAAAATGCAGGATGGCAATTTAAGAGTCCAAGTAATGAGGCAGCCTTTTCACACACTCCTGATACTTTCCCTGTGTGCAGGTATAAAATACAAGAGTTACACCTTTCATAACCCACGCTCACTGAGATGTCTAAAGCTATATCATCTTTGATGCTGCATCAATTTTTCATAGAAATATGATCTCCCTCGAACTCTCCTACAGCAGTTCTGAGATTCTTCTCCCTGCACTTTGATAGATGTTTACCAAATTTGCCAACTAGCTAAATTACATCATTGCTTTCTGACAAAAGCAAGGAGTTTATTCCAAGAAAAACACCTCTCGAAAAAATGAAGGAGCCAGGCAGGAAGCATTGACAACTTGCAAGCAGGTAAAGTATGAATGGTCAGGAGAAATTTTGCTGAGCAATGTGAAAGAGCTTCCAAAATTAAAAGGAAGAGCTTCTTAAGACTGTATCAGAGGGGGAAAAATTAACTATTAGATGGGAGTCACTGATTATGAAGCAAAGGTAAACTTAGTGGAGACAAGGAGATGGTGAACCAGCAGAATTCCTCTTCTCTAGATTATTTTTTAAAAGGATATTAGAAAGATTACTACTCTCGGCCGGGCGCAGTGACTCAAGCCTGTCATCCCAGCATTTTGGGAGGCCGAGGTGAGAGGATTGCCTGAGCCCACGGGTTCGAGACCAGCCTGGGTGATATGGTGAGACCTCATCTCTACAATAAAATTTTAAAATGAGCCAGGCATGGTAGTGTGCACCTGTAGTTCCAGCTACTTGAAAGGCT